AGAAGAAATGTTCGGGGCCAGCAGGTGGCATGGTGATTGAGGGCACTGGACTCCCACATGGCCAACCATGGTTTGAGTCCCAGACTTGGTGGCTTGCTTTCTAACTTTCTCTCTCTCTCTCTCTCTCTCTCTCACTCTCTCTCTCTCTTTCACTCTGTCCCTCTTTGGTCAAATTAAAATAATACAATAAATAAATAAATAAATAAAGTTAAATAAAAATAATTCTTAAAAAAAAAAAGAAGAAATGTTCAAGAAAATTCTCCAAACATAAGAAAAGAATATGTAGGCCAACAAGTGGTATGGTGGTTAAGGTACTAGATCCCACATGGCCTACTGTGTAGTTTGAGTCCCAAACCCACTGGATTGAAAAACACTCTGGGTGCATGTGTGTGCATGCCCAAAACCCCATGGAGAGAGTGGAGGAAAAGGGATTGCGTCATGGCAATCCCCCTGTGGTGATTTCTCATGCTCTCTCTCACTCTCTCTGTCTCTCCATCTCCTATGAGCACACACATCCTCTAGCAAACTGAAAAGAAAAAAAAACCTGAGGTGAAATTTAGATTTACGTGTGTAATGAAAATGCTGGAAATTGTACATGTAGATATATGTATGTATGTGCGTGTGTATATATATATGTGTGTGTGTGTGTGTATATATATATATATGAATAAATATAAGAAAATTTTCATTCATTCTCACCCTTTATTAATAGAAAATTTTCTTTTTTTTTAGAAGTTTTTGCCTTAGGGCATGCATGCTCTCCAGGGGAGAAACAGAAACAGTGAGAGAGAAAGTGAGAAATCACCCCCTAGGGAGGACGGCCATACAGAAATCTCTTTCATTCTCCCAAGATCTTGGTCACCCATGCGCATGTGTCTGGCGTGAGTTTGAAGCCTCCAGGTCTAGGACTCGAACCGCGGTTAGCTATGTGAGAGTCCAGTGACATAACCGCTATGCCATCTGCTGGTCCCAATAGAAAGTTTACTTTTTAAAGAAAAACTAATAATGATGTACTATGGGGTCTATAGCACATGTAAAAGTAAAATCTATGTTGACAGTAGACAATGATGATGAGGATATGGAACAATACTGCTGTAAGACTTGGATATTGTTGTAAAGTAGTAAAATAGTACCTTAAGGAAGATTGTGATAAATAAATGATGTGCGCAATGGGGCTTCTAAAATTTCATAAAAATGCATAATATGAAAATATTATGTATGGATTTCAAATCTTGTTCCATCAAAATAAACTCACATTAACTGGTCATAACACATCTGAATAGGTTGTAGCTTGAAGCACTAAGAAGGATAAGACTACAGTTTGAAGAGAGCTCCTATCAGAGCATAATGGATTTTTTTCTTTTTAGATTTTGCCATAGAGTGTGTAACTGGAGAGAGAAAAAGGGAGGGAAAGTTAGAAATTACTCCCCAAGGAGGATGGCCATACCACAATTCTCTGTCCTCCATTTTACTCTTGGGACTTCAGGCACACATGCACATGTGGCTGGCATGATCTTCAAGTCATCAGGTCCAAAACTCAAACTGTGGCCCACCGTGTGAAGTCCAGCACCTTAACCACTATACCACCTGTTGGTATATACCACCTGAGAGCAAAATGAATTCAGCTAATACTAACGCAAGGGCAAACGTCAAACTTATGATGAAGCTTGGGCAGAAGAATGGTGAAATCATGGATGCTTCGCAAAAATGTTTATGTGAACAATACTCCCAAAGTTTACTAATACATCATTCATTGTAAGCAAGGATGAGACAAGGCTGAAGATTACACCCACAACAACAGACCATCCACAAAAATTTCCAGGAAAAAATTATGTTCATGCTCTCCTTGAAGAAAACTGACAATTAACAGCAGAAATTATAGCACTGTAGACCTCTCTAATGGTTCAGCTTACACAGTTCACTGAAAATTAAAGTTTAGCAAACTTTCTACTCAAGGGGTGGCAAAACTGTTGTGCCCAGATTAAACTGCAGACAAGAGCAAACTTTCTATTTTAAACAATGGGATCAAAATCCTGAAGCATTTCTTTGAACAGCTATAAAAAGAGAAGGCATGTAGCTTTCCCAGTATTATCCTGAAGATAAAGCAGAATCAAAGCAATGACCAACAAGAGGTGGAAGTAACCCAGTCAAAGCAAAAACAGACCAGTTAAAAGCAAATTGCAACCATTTTTTAGGATACTCAAGGCATTTTAGTTATTGTTATTTTTTTTATTATTGCTATCAGCCGTGTGCACATGCTAGAGAGAGACAGAGAGAGGGAAAGTGAGAAAGCAACCTCAATGGGGGATGGTCACACCACAATCCCTACTCATCCATGCTCCTCTCTGGATTTTGGACATGTATGTGCATTGTTTTTCAAGCCACTAGGTCCAGAACTTGAACTCTGCTATTGGCCATGTGGGATCCAGCCACCTTAACAACCATTCCATTGGTTAGCCCCAGTTGTTCATTTTCCAGAGGGCCGAAGAACAATAATGTATACCTGATATAAAAGGTTTTTGAGGGCTGCCCCCATACCCAGTGATAAGGAAGCTGTATGCCACATGACTGACCATTTACACATGTAATAAAAGTGATGACCCTGGGGCCAGCAGATGGCATGGTGGTTAAAGCTCTGGACACTCCTACATGGCCAACCACAGTTTGAGTTCTGAACCTGGTAGCTTGTTTTCTCACTTTCTCTCTCTCTGGCCAAATTAAAATAACTGAATGAATAATTTTTTAAACAAGTAATAATAAATAAAATATATTTTTTTAAAGTGCTGACCATGTGGGATCCAAATCCTGGTCCTGACAACATGAAAAACACACTGGGCACATATGCATCAGTACTCAGACTCCTGAGAGGATGGAGAAGAGATAGTGATGTAGCTATGCCTCTTTGGGAGGGTGCTTTCTCCCTTTCTTTTCCTGTCTTTCTGTTTCCCTGGGATGTGCGTGTGCCCTCTCACAATTACAAAATAAATAAGTAAATAGTGTTTTGAGAAAAGTAACTAAAGATTTAGCAGAAAAATGTTAGATACAAAAATGATATATGGTGGTTAAGGGTGTTGGACTCCACATGGCTGACCAAGATTTGAATGCCAGACCTGGCAACTCACTTTCTCACTTTCTCTCTCTCACTCTCGCTCTCACCCTCTTGTTCTCTTCCTCTGTCCCTCTCTGGTCAAATTTAAAATAAATAAATAGATAAATAAAGTTTAATAAAATAATTTTTAAGTGATCTATGCATTTCTCTACAAGTTTTATACCTTTTCTATATTTAGGTTTATAATTAAATTTGAAGTCTTGAGTATCATATGAAGTGAGGGTTGATGAGTATTTTTCTCCATAAGGATATAATATAGTTTCAGCACTATTTGCTGAAGAAACTATCCCTTTCCAATGAAACTGTATTGACATTTTTGTGCTAAGCAAAATAAGGTCAGATACACTACAGGACATACTGTATAATTTCATTTGTATGAAATTTTGCAACAGACAAAGTCATTCTATGGTGATAGAAATAAGACAGTGGTGGGGCCAGACCCCTATAGCAAAAATCTCTCAAAAAAAGATAACAAAAACAAAAGAAAAAAGACAATGGTTACTAAGGACTGGGGATGAGGGAGATTGACTAGAAAGAGGAAGAAGAGAACTTTCTAAGTATTAGAGATTTTATTAATCTTGATCTTAATTGTGGTTATTCAAGTTATTGTATTTTACTTCTTTTTTTTTCTGGATTTTTGCCATAGGGCATGTGCACTTTCTGGAAAGAGAGACAAAAAGAGAGGGAAAGTGAGAAATCACCCCTTAAAGTGGGAGGGAAGGTCATACTGCAATCTTCTCTCTCCATCCTCCTCTCAGGATTTTGGGCATTCATGAATATGTGTCCAGCATGTTTTTCAAGCCACTTTTATAAATATGTAGCCAGAATGTTTTAAAAGCCACTGGGTCCAGGATTCAATCTGCACAGTTGGCCATGTGGGATCCAGTGCTTTTACCATCATGTACCTGCTGGCCCACCATATTTTACATTATTAAAATTCACTGAGGGGCCAGTAGGTGGCGCAGTGGTTAAGACACTGGACTCCCACATGGTTGACCATGGTTTGAGTCTCAAAACCTGGCAGCTTGCTTTTTCACTTTCTTGCTCGCTCTCTCTCTCTTTCTCTTTCTCTTTCTCTTTCTCATTCTCTCTCTCTCTCTGGTGAGCACATGTGACCTATAACAAATTAAAAAATAATAATAATAAATAATTTTTTTAAAAACTCATTGAACTATGTATACCTAAAATAAGTATGTTTAATTTTATATATAAATATTACAAAAATATAATGCATATGTAATATAGAGATGTATATACATATATATGTTACTATAGATTCCAAAATGTTTGTTCAAATTTCTCCTGATTCTGAAGCTCCTATGCCTGGAGGCAGACAAAAATGCAGCTGTGGTGAATTTTACCTGGAACTTTATGTTATATTCTCGGTATTAGGGCCAGAATATTCTTTTTTAGGTAAATTCATGTATGTTAATATCTGTAACCTACTAAGTAAGATTAAACTCTGAGGACTCAAAATGGAACCAGCAGATTTTGTTTTACTGATTAAGAGAACAATACAATCTTATGTGTGCAAAGCCCCATAAAGTTTTAAAAATATATTTTACTTTTTTTTTTGAGAGGTTTTTGCTATAGGGTGCGTGCGCTCACCAGAAAGAGAGAGACAGAGAGACAGGAAGCAAGAAATCGAGACAGAAAGCTAGAAATCACCCCACCCCACCCCCAGGAGGGATGGCCATGCCGCAATCGCTTCTCCTCCATTCTTTTCTTGGGACCTTGGGCACGCACGCACACGCGCCCAGCATGAGTTTAAGCCACCAGGTCCGGGACTCGAATAGCAGCCGAGGCTACATGGGAGTTCAACGACATAGCCATTACGCTAACTGCTGGTCCCAAAATATGTTTTAAAATATTCTGGCACAACTTCCTGTAGGCCCTGGTGGTTGCTGTCGAATGGGCAAGTTCATGAAACCTGGGAAGTGGTGCTGGTCCTGGCCAAATGCTACTCCGCACACAAAGCCGTCATCATGGAGAACATTGATGGTGGCATCTCGGACTGCCCCTGCATCCAGGCTCTGGTGGCTACTATTGACCTCGGTCCTCAAAGTGACACTGATAAGCAAGAAGAAAATCATCAAGAGGCCAAAGATCAAGTCTTCTGTGAAAGTTTATAACTACCATCACCTCATACCTACAAGGTACTCACTCTGTGAATAGTCCCTTTAACCAAACTGTGGTCAATGGAATGTCTTCAGAGAACTTGCTTTTAAATGCAAGGCCTGCTGGGAGGCAAAGGTTCAAAGAAAGGTACAAGATAAACAAGAACAAGTGGTTCTTCCAGAAGCTGCTGTTTAGATGTTTTAAGTTTCAGCCATTAAAAAAGAAAAATAGAGGGGTCAGTAGGTGGCGTGATGCTTAAGGACACCGGACAACCATGTGACCAACTGCAATTTGATTCCCGTACTTGGCAGCTTGTTCTCTCTCTCTCTCTCTCTCTCTCTCTCTCTCCCTCTCTGGTCAAATCAAAATAAAAAAGTAGATAAATAAATTTAAATAAAAATAATTCTTAAAATATTTCCTAAAAATAAATATATATATTCTGTTTTGATACTAAAATAACCATATTACCCATTATTTAATGACACAAATACTATTAAAACACTTCCCTGAAATATTCTTATTGAATCCTCGATAAGAAATTTAGAGGTTTATTATGAGCTTTCATTGAAGATATTTAGATGTCTCCTAGTTTAGGAGTTTTGGCTCTGTCTGGAGGATGAGGGTCAGAAGTAGAATTATTGGCCTTAATATCTCACAAGATAGAGTTAGTGAAATTTAGCTTTATTGCTACTGAGATATATGCTACTCTGGGAGACTCTGGGTGATTACTGAGATTGTTTGTCCTGTCTGGTGTCTGCATGCCGGAAAGAGCATGTCTCTAATGATACATCGTCAAGGATAACTGCCTCTCACCCAGTCAAAGCTCCAGCCTTCTGCCACTCTGTGTGCATTCCAATCTATGGTGACAGAAATATGAAAATGGTCATCCAGTGCTGAGAATAAGGGCGATGACCAGAAAAAAGAAAGAGGACATTTTTAAAGTAATGGGAATAAATATTTGACTATGTATCTTTTATTATAATAATATAGCCCTAATAAAGTTCATTTTAAAAATGTATTCCTTACCATAGTTGTATGGTAAGGGAGCTACATAAAAAATGGTTGCTCCCTTGGTTCCAGTCATCTGATGCCCCTCTCCACCTGGCCCATAACTGGTCTTCTCTTCGCTGTCCTATTTCAGCCACAGAGGATCTCTTCTTCAACAAAGCAAAACAGAGCCTTTGTTCTGGCTGTCCTATTAGCCCACAGTACTTTACCCTAGTTCTTCTGAGTGGTTCATTTTCATTCTTTTTTTTTTTTCCACTTTATTTATTTCTTCTATGCGAGAGACCCAAAGTGGCAGGAACTTCCCACAAGGTGTTCACACCACAACCTATTCCCAGCCCAGATCATGGACCTGCATGCAGGAGGTCCCAGGATGTAATCCTCATACCTTCCCATATGGTTCCAGTTATATGACCATTGCACCACTGTCTGGAATCTCTTGCCATTTTAGTAATAATCATTTCTTTTCCCATCTCACTCCTCTGACTTGCTTTGCCTTCAAAATCTAGTGACTTGGTAAACATAGATCTTCCAAATATGAGCAAATGTTTTTGAGCTTCTGTATATCAAAAACTTGTTTCTTTTTACTTCTGATTAGTGTTCTATGTGTAATACACCACAATATGTTTATCTATTTACTTAATTGATAGAAATTTGAGTCATTTCCAGTTTTTGGCTATTATTAATACAAATGCTATAAATATTTATGTATATGTATTTTGAAGACATATTTTTCATTTCTCTTGCAATACTTTTAGAAAAAAGATATTTGCAAATTCTCTCATGTTACAGGACACTCTTAGTTATTTTATTCTGAACCACCAAGTGCTTATGATGAAATAATTAATTAACTCTAACTGGCATCAAACAAATAATGATATTTGGATATCCAAAAGATATCCTGAAGAAAATGGTGAGAAAGAGTTTATAGTCTAGTACTTTCTCTAGAAGTATGTCTTCATAACTTTATCTATTGGAACAATATAAATAAGCATTTTAAAGATCACTTTGAAAAATAAGTGTTCCATATGAATATCTATAAAAAATAGATAAATTATAGTATATTCACATAAAAATGTTAAATAAAACATAAACAGACTAGAGCTACATGCAAAACTATGGATAAATCTTCAAACATAGTAGAGAGCACCCTACATTACAGGCTCACCTTATATTTGGTCATTAGTGGTATATAGGATGTTCTCTACTTTTTAATTAAGGAATGGCCATATCCATAGGTCCTAACCAAGCAGTAGCCCTTAACAACTATGTTATATCACATGAATCTATTCTCCTTCATGTATTTTGGGTACTAAGTATGTGCCTGACCCAAGAGCGGCCAATCCAAAATTAAATATAAGCAATCCATAAGGCCAGAAGGTGGCATGGTGGTTAAGGTGCTAGGCTCCCACATGGCCGACCATGGTTTAAGCCTCAGACCTGGTGGCTTGCTTTCACTCTCTCTCTCTCTCTCTCATCTAATTAATTAATTAATTAGTCTTTTAAAAATAAATATAAGCAATCCATGTTCAATAAAATTAAAACAAACACAAACAATTTGTGCGCAATGGATCCCATACTCAGTATAAACCTCAAAGGAAATTACAAATTCTGTCTTCAGAAGCTTCACAGAAAAGGTATATCTAAAGAGGCCCTAAACAAAGGAGAAAAGAAACATATGCAAATATGACAGGCCAAAAATAAAATTTATTTATTCACATTGCTAAACTAGCCAGAGGGAAACAAAGTATACTTCAAAATAAGACATATAACCAGGAGTAAAGAGAAATATTTATAATGATAAAGAGGTCAATTTTTTGGGAAGATAAAACAAGCCTAAATGTGTATACACTTAAAAATACAGCATCAAAAACTGATAAAACTGAATGAAGAAACAGATAAATCCACAATTGCAGTAGACATTCCAACACACCTCTCAACTGTTGATAGAAAAATTGATAATAGCTTTAAAAACCACTGCAAAATACCAAGGACTATAAGCTGCAATGACTCTTCAGAGTTGTCACAGTTTTGAGGCAATGGGATTTGGCCTTTTGATCTCCTTCATCAACAAGGCATTGGATAGGAGCTGCAGCAAGAATGTCAGCTTGAGCAAGACAGCTCCCTTCAATTGAGGGTAATTCCTAGAGAAGGACTCTGCTGTGAGCCGGAGGTATGAGTGCCTCAGTCCTGAAGGAGGATATGGCCAGTATACCACAGCATTCACTACATAAGAGCTAAAGCTTGGGGACCAGCAGGTGGCATGGTGGTTGAGATGCTGGACACTCCCACATGGCTGACCATGGTTCAAGTCCTGCACCTGGTGGCTTGCTTTCTCACTTTCTCTGTCTCTAGTCAAATTAAAATAAATGAATGAATAAATAATTTTTTAAAAAAAGAGCTGAAACTCAGCTGTGTTATGTCTGATGTGCCTATTCAACATCCAACCGGAGATGTCAAGTAAACCATTGGATATGAGAGCTTGAAGTTCCAAGAATGATGTCAGCAAAATGGCAGAATAAGGGTTCTCTGACTTCAATTTCCCCCAATAGAACTCCAACTAGTAATTATCCACAGGCAAAAATACCATCCCATAGAATAGTACTTAGATGCTGCCTAGAGGAAGCCAGCTCCCATATGGCCAACCAAGGTTAAAAGCCTGATACCATTGGCTTGAAAAACACACTGGGCACATGCACATGGTTCAGGATCCTGATGGAATATACAAATGGGAAAAAAAGGATTTTGGCATGATCAGGCGCCATAGGGATGTGCTTACTCTCTCTCTCTTTATCTTTCTCTTCTCTTGTTCTCTTTTGGGCACAGACACACCTTCTGACATTAAAAAGAAGACAAAGACAAAGATGAAAATGAAGAAGAAGAATAGTTTACCACAGTCATAATTTGGTTTCCTTGATATATATAAGGGAACTTCCAAAATTTCATCAAAAATGGAATGAATGTATAAATTTTTTTCTGGGTTTTTGCCATTGAGTCCGTAAACTCACCAGAGAGCAATAGCAAGAGACAGAGAGAGTGAAAGTGAGAAATCACCCCTACCCCAGGGAGGACGGCCATGTTGCCATCCTTTCTCCATTCTCCTTTAGGGATTTTGAGCACATAAGCACACATGCCCAGCATGATTTTCAAGCCTCTAAGTCTGGGGCTCAAACTGCGATTTCTCAGCAGAAACCATGTAGGCCATGAAAGAATGGGATCATATACTCGAAGTGCTGAAGGAAAAATATTTTACTGGCAAGCTGTCCATCAGAAATAAAAGAGAAATAAAAATTCACCCAGACAAACAAAAACTAAGGGAGTTCATAACTAGAAGTAATACTTTGCAAGAATTACTAAAGTAAGTTTTTAAAGCTGAAATAAAGGCTGCTAATTAATAATAAAACACATACAAAAGTAAAAATTTCAATGATATAAATAATCCACAGTCATGCTCCGAATTCTCTAATGCTGTCAGATTGGGGTATAAAGAGATTTCATCCTTTCTAAAAGGCTTAACAGACAAAACTGTTAAAAAACAAGTATAGTGAGACCAGCAGATGGTGTAATGGTTGTCACTACATGTGTGTATGTGCCCAAGATCCTGAGAGGGGAATGGAGAAGGAGAGATTGTAGCATGGTCATCCCCATTGTGGGGGTGATTTCTCACTTTCTGTCTGTCTCTCCAGCAAGCGCACACATCCTATAGCAAAAATCTCTAAAAAACAACTATGGCTACAACAAGTTGTTAGGAGACAAAAATTACAAAACAAATGCAAATTCTGACACCAAACTATGCTTCCAAGAAGAGATGGATAACCAGAATATACAGGGAACTCAAGTAATTTACCAGCAAAAAAAAAAAAAAAAAATCCAATTAAAATGTGGGCAAATTAACTAAACAGACACCATTCCAAGGAAGACATAATGAATGGCCAAGAGGCATATGAAAAAATGTTCAGGACCTCTTATCATAAGGGAAATGCAAATCAAAACCACAATGAAGTACCAT